CAACGCCTTTTCAGTCACTGGTTATTACAACAATTACTTAATTTGAATTTTGCAGTAGTTCCAAATTTTTCTCTTAATCTAATCTGTCCTGTTCACTTTTATGTACAATTCAGGATCTTGGGGTTCAAGCACAGACCCCAATAAATCATAAATTCAAATTTATCCCCTGTATTATATGACAATCAAAATGTAAAATGAAAATAAAATAGAATCTGAATTCATATCCCCAGTGTATGAGTCAGTTGTTGTAAACTTATTTCCTATTCAGAAGTGACTCATAACTTTTGGAACTTTTAACAAAACGTGGCTGAATCACCTAATTGGAAAAATTGTAAACAAGGATTTTAAAATGTCCCAATAATTGTGAAGGGCCTATTCTCTTAGTGTGCTCATGTAAATTCTTTTATTGCTGGAAGCTGTGTGCCCATGTAGGACAGAAGAGACCCTTTGGTGATATTTATGCTGCTGCTCAAATGACACAGCTTATCTGTGAGATGAGGATTGTTGGATTTAGAAATTCAGCATAAACCCAGTCAGTCCAAACACATTACTGTCAATATTATATTATAGATGTACATATTGTCATTACTTATGGTCTTGTGATGCCATTTAAATTACCTTTGGTGTTACATATGAAAGACACTGCTCAGTCTTCTATTTCTGTGGAAGTCAGTCATGTCACTGATGGAAACTTTACTTCTCATTTCTTTTCTGCTGTGTATATCACTAACCCTTAAATGTCTATATTATGGCCACAAGTCTATCAGAATACTGATAATAAATTCATATTGTATGAATACCACTCCATGCTACGCTGCTAATTCAGCCAGCATAATCTATGGGCCATTTTTCTAAGTGGTGAAAATTAGTTGGCTCAATTAATTTAATCAAGCTATGCCATCTTGCTCCAGCTGAGGCTCTGGCCTAATGTCTGTTGGGGCTGAATGCCTTGCTTCTGCATAGCAGCTAGACTCTGCTGTCTTGAGACCACCTCCTGGTGAAGTTGATGAGTTATCTTTGAAGAGCAGTGGATTGGTCCCTATGGAATAGGGGACCATGAGCGCTTTGTGTTTCAGCTTTCAGTCTTATAAACAACTTGCATGTTAATATTCATTTCCAGATGCATAGTGAACTCATTCAGCAGCCAGGGTGGGAGGAGGGAGTTGGCATGCTGACTATTGCAGAGCAGGGGGACAGGGGTGAGATGAGAAGAAGGGAAGTCTTATCAGGATATCTGCACAGTGAAAGCAGCAGCAACTGCTACTGCTGCTGTAGCTGACTGTCTTCCCTGTGCAGACAGCCTTGGCAGCAGCAGCAGAATGAGAAAGTCAAGTGCAGCAGGCACGTGGCACTGGCTCCCTGGGAGCCATACATGGGAACCTGTTTGCTCCCCTCCCCAGATATGCTACTGGCACAAGGCTGTGAGCAAAAACTCCCCAAGTGGGGCAGGGGGCAGAAAGTGGTGCTGTGGGGGAGGGGTGGGAAGAGCACCATTCCACTCACCCTCAAATGCACTGCCAGGTGTGGGCTGCTTCTATGGGTGGGCAGGGCCCACAGGGCTACCTCTGTCATGGTAAAGACACCAAGGGGGTGGGAATCTTGCATCCCCTCCTAGTCATCACTCAGGGCTGGTGCTCTGCTTCCCCTGCCCTAGTTACACTGCTGCTCATTTATACTGTGCTTAAGGGCCTTGTTACACATTACACTGTGAACCACTCAAATGCTTGTCATTTTACTGCTAACTTGCAGTCACACCTTCAACTTGAGCAGCACAGCTCTGGGAAGTGGCTGAGTTACACAGAATGGGAGCTGGGTCATGCAGATCAAACAATAATTGTGCCCTGGAGTGGCACAACTTTGAACTGTATAATGAGAGCTTTAAGCCACTTACAGGTGTAAACGAGCAGACAATCTAGGGGTTAAGTGCTGCAGGAGCCACTCAAAATTAAAGTGTAACAAGAAAATGCTATTGTTGCCATAACTTTCAGTGGTATTTCTGTGCATCCTGTGAATTCTACAACTCCTTTTGTTATGAGCTGCTTTGGATGAGATCACAAGCTACAGCTCATGATTTTTTTTTAAAGTTAGAAGTTGGAAGTGAGAACATTTTCCTAGGTTGAATACCCCTTGTAATGATCATATGCTTTTTTCAAAGGTAAGAGGTTAAATTCTCATTATGAACTTCATTTCACTGGATGCCTAATGAGGGAAGGTTGCCATATAAATACTTTTGTCAATAGAATCACTATACTATTTACATGTTACTCAGTCCTAAAGATAAAGCATTTAGAATTTAAAAGCACTATGAGAAAATTCAGCTACAGCTGTAATATACTTCATATGAATAAGAATTGTCCATTGATATTTCAGGTGTGTAATTTTTTTAGAGATTTGCCTTTGTTGCCCAGTAAATTCTACACTTACTTGCTAAAACAATGCAATAATGTTGTTCATTACAATAGTGATGAATGAGTATATCACAAATGATTTTATATTTTGATAAATAGCCTCTAGAAAAAACAGTACATATTTTAAAATATAATTTTATGCATTTAGAATATGAAATCATGTATGAAATCAGCACAGTAATGTATGCAAAAATGCACATTTACTGCTTTTTCTTCATAACTTTGCAGACTTTGTGTTTTGTCAATGCTGCTGTATTTGTTACTCAGCCATGAGTCTCCTTGTTTGTTGCTATGATTTTAGAGTTTAAATAAATTGTGAGTGTTATTAGATGTTGTCCTTCATAGTCCAATACACAAAATCATTTTGAACTTTAAGAAGATTCTGTTAAATTTAATAGTCTCTCCATTTTAGCATTTTACAACTTTGAAGGAATACATATACACAATTTTATTAAGGTAGGTGGACAAGGAAACTTATTTCAAAGCCCTGCATTAGGTCTATTAGCTTATTTTCTTTAGGATTACTTTTAATATTTTAAACCTCTCAATGGATAAATGAATAAAACCCATAGTTTTATTTATATCCTGTCTTTGAAATATATTTTTTCTGCCAAATTTGGAATTTTCCCCAACATGCACTAACATGAGGACTACCATAATCAATATTTAAACTTAGACCACTGACAAGTCTAAAAGCCTATTGGCTAGAGCCTTACCTGAGTAATGTTAGAAGGATCCTTGGAATGGGTACTAAAGTTATCAGAGTGTGTTGCATGCGTAAGTGCTGAGGAGGAGAGACAATGCAATGAAGCAGGAGATGTGCATCGGGACTAGGAAGCCATGTAGGCAAGGACAGATGTCTATGCTGGTATATAATTAAAGTTATGAGTTAAGTGGAGTCTAATATTATTTACTAATTGCAAATAATCTAACCGGTGTTAAAAGTCTTGGTCACAGTCTTTACATGTTTGAAAAGGATGCATTCCCTAATTGTCTTGGACATTAATAACAAGAAGCACATAAACATGAGGATGATATATCTATATATCTATAATATAGATGTCTATATTATATATATATATATATATATAAAACTAGATATATCCAAACACACGCATACTATTGTATGCAAATTAAAGAGATTTCTAAATTGTTAGTAATCCTTTCTACATTTAGAGACTTCTACAATTAGTCTCACTGGTCAAAGAGACTCTGGCCGTGTGTAGACAAAACAAGAGGCATGTGTGCACGACATTTTAAAATGGGCTAAATGCTTTTGCACCATTTTAATGGTGTCGGTGTTTGCATGCCTCAGTGGTGTATTGTGCATTCATTCCAACTGCTGCAGGAAATTCAGCACTCCTTAAAAGCCTTGGGGTGCACCAAACTAAAACTCCTTTGAGGAGTTTTAGTTTGTTGCCGCTGCAGCCACAACAAACTACAGAGTGAAGCACCAGGCTCCATGCAGCTCCATGGCTCTGCAGGAAGCCCTGCAGACAGCCTGGCAGCAGCTCACGAAAGGAGCTCTACCCAAGAAAAGTGGTAAGCCTGATCTCCCCTGGAGCCTTCTTGGCTGAGCTGTGTGGGGCACTTTCCTCCGTGGCTGCGGTACCCCCGAGGACCAAACAAGCTGGGTTCCTGTGGGCGGGTGCTGCCTGGGGGAGCCACTGCCGCAAAGGGAAGCACCAGCCCCCCCTGCAGTGCAGGGACTGCTCTGCCTGCCGGCAGCTGGCCCTTCCCTCCCTGCTGGAGAGGCAGGTAAGTCAGCACGGTGTGTGCATGACACAGGGGTTATCAGCCCTAAATTGAAGTGGTGTTTTTTAAAACCCACCACTTCAATTCAGGTCCCCTGTTCTGTCTACACGTGCCCTCTGACAGTAGGTATGGTGACTTGATGCAAACAGCATGGCTAATAATTTAAAAAACAACCTTAAAACATGAAATATCTCTGAAAAATATGAGTCAAATGCAAGCAACACTATGATACAAGGTTTCAATTCATATTTATTTGGAATGGTTTCATGTCTCACTCCTGTCTATTAAACTCATGAGTAATGCAGTAATGTGAAATGCCTGCTGATGAAAATCTTTTTTATCTGGACACATCATAGTGTATTTTCTCTTTCTGTACTCTATCAATACACATTACATACATTTACCCAAAAAAAAGGTTTAATTACTAAAGACAAACATTGCAATTGTTGGGGAATATTAGATAGGAGTTATGAGTACAAAGTTAAATATTCAAAAATGTTTTTCCTATAAAAACAAATACAATTATTAGTTAAAAATTCATTGAAAGGTTTAAACAACAGTGGAACTCTGACCTGTCTATAAATGGATCTGAATACATTTAGTAAAAATCCAGATATATAAAAACTGTAGTTTGACACAGCATTTAAAATGAGTTCTAAAAATATTAGCTGTGAAATTACATCTATAAGCAATAAATTATCAAGACCACATTGTGGACCAATTTTAGAATAGCTAATCAAAGCCAGTAAAATTGCTATTTGGGTGAGAATTTGTGTTGGCTAGATCTAATGAAGACTGTTGATAGACACTCACTGTCCTAATTTCCTGCTTCATCAGAGCGTGTAACTGAAGTGAAGACTGACATCTTCGTCACCAGTTTTGGGCCTGTTTCAGATCATGATATGGTAAGTGACAGTTTATATTTTTACGGCAATAGTTCTTTTGATTTCTATTTTATTTCTAATTTGGAGTTGGAAAGAGGAGGAAGAATATCTGAAACAACTTGATCTGCAATTATCTGATATTTTTTAGACCTTTTGGTTTTGGAATCCTGTCAAGTTTTACATTTAACCATTACTGCCAGCTGTGACTGTATTTAAGTGCCCTTAAATTAACAGCCTCAGTGACTTTAATACATGTTATAGCAGACATTATACTTGCACGATAATATATTATGGAATTTGTTAGCTGCTTAATTTTTTGAATGGATCTGTATTCGTCACAGAATGAAAGCATAGCTCTATTTGGCATATCACGGATCCAACTGTTGGAATACATCATTGTCTTAAAGTGTGATAAACATTTATGGCTACAGTGTAAATTCCATAAAGTATAACCTGTGTAGTTACATTTAATGCTGCTGATCAGTTAGAAGTGAATTTCTTAGGTATTAGATGGTCAGAGGGGCAAGAAATTAAGGGAGATATGTTTTTTCATTCTTTTATTGCTTGGATGTAACAAGCAAATTATTAGATAATTAAAAAGGATTCAGGCATGTGTGGTTACAAAGTTGTAGATATGAAACTTAACAGTGATGGGAGATGTAGGCAAGTTGTGTTAGTTTTTGCATATAAATGAAACCATTGTATGATTCATTTGTAAGTGGACATTATTTGCAGAGACATTCAAATTGGGAAAATGATGTTAAATCATGCTGGATCCTGTGTAAAACTGAGCACCAAAGAAATTGACTATCAGTAGTCTTTTATTTTATCTTATTTTATTTTACTTTCCTTATTTAAATAAATCGCTTAGCTAATCAAAAGCAAAGGAAAGAGAAAAAAAGAAAGCATATGAAAGCAAGGAAATTGGTACAAGAAAGCAGCTAATATCCCTTTGCAAAACAAAATGAGAGGATGTATAAGTGGGACCAGTTTCCAAATTTATAGCTGGCACTTACACAGCAGGTAACCAAGGTTCTCAATGGACACAGCAGAATTATGGGATAGAATAACAGAGAATATTTCTGTAAAAATTAGTTATTTTCATGGGCTACTTTCCCCAAATACTCTGCAGGAAGACACAATTTAATGATTGCTTGGTGAATATATCCACAACTGATGCCACAGCAATAACTAATAGTATTTTACAGTGATATTAAACCAGAATGATGCATTAGTGTGTTGAGCAACATAGCCTAAGTGACTACCCGTTGTGGTGGGCAACTTTATTCTGTTAGCAGTAATCCAGAGGAATGGCTAGATCAGTGTTCTCAGTACTTGCACAGTAGAATCAGGCAAAAACTATATATCAGTGCAGAGGATTATACCTCCACTCTGAAAACGCTCATTGTAGTAGCTGGAATACTGTAGATCCAAGAGAAATATCACATTATGTTACATATATCAAGCAACGTTATCTTTGCTCTGTTGGCTGTAAACAAATTGTGAAAATTCTCTCTTTACTTGTTTTTTGAAATTATACATAAATTGCTTTGATGGAGAGACTACTATTGTATGACATTTATGGCCCTTGATTATTTAAGAAAGTCACTTTAACTTGCTTCACTTCTTTATAGGCTAATTCATGTGACCAGCCACTATAATCCAGTTTCAAATTCAAACCCTGAAGGTTGTTTCCTTGGTGTCTGTTTTTGCCCCAAACTTCTACAGCTAGCTGGGAATTCTTAATGAATGGTCTTTTCTTTGTAAAATGCAAATTTATTGAAACAAAACTTTTCATTGAAACATTGATTTCTGACAGAAGTTTCACTGGGAAGGTTTCATTGCAAGGAGTCAAAGATCAAAGCTCTGTTTGCTTCAGAGCAGACATACAAACATGCATTTACTACAGTTTTAGTGATTTCTACCAAGCTATTTCATATTCTAGGATGAATCTCTCTCTCTCACTCTCTTACACACACACACACACACACACACACACACACACACCCCTTTTGTGCAAAATTTAATTTCAAAATTCATTTTTGTTTCACATCAGAATAGAATTATGAACTTTTGACATTTTTCATAACAGAGAACACTTTATTTTTGGGTAACCCTCATTTCTGATATTTGTAAGATATTTGTTGCATGTGGCAGGGATTTCCTGTTCTTCTATATTTGTGCATCATCTTACAAAATGCAAGCTTTGGGTACTCCCACAAGGTAATTAAAGTGACCACTACCACTTTCATAGTCTGAAGAAATGGATAACGAGGTTTGAGGAAATACAGCAAATTCCTTTTACACAGAGCAATGGTTCTTATAAACCTTTGGATTTTATATGACTTATTATCCAGGATCAGAAGGAAAATTCATTTTATTCCCATTGCAATCACAGTTGGCACGTCTACATGAGATATTTACTACAGAGCTGACTAATTAGCTCCACAGTAAAGCATTACTCTTTACATGTGCAGCATTATTAGGTCACAGTAGACTAATATATGCTGCTACAGGGTTGTCTGGCTAAACACAAGTACTACCCTGCAGCGGTGTTATTTTGTGCACCTCAGTGCCCAAGTAGATGACAATGGGGCCAGCTGGGCTGCTCTGACCAGGCTCCATGTGCTGCAGAGCGGCTGGCAGGCACTGAAGCCCTCATGCTGAACCACCCTCATGCCTTAGCCAGTACCTCTGCAGTGTCCCCTGCCAGCCCAGGCTGCTTTGACCAGGCTCCATGTGCTGCACACAAATAAACTCCAGAACAATATGCTCTGGAGTTTTTTGCTCCCAGACACATTTAAACAACACACCCAGGAATAAAAAAAACTCCAGAACAATAAGTTCCAGAGTTTATTCATGCACATTAATTGCACATGTAGACATGCCCATGTAGATGTGTTTGTGAGGTCTCCTAGCTGGGAAGGGGGTGAGTGGATCCTTTTCATGATTGTTTCTTAAGTAGAGTTACAGTAGGGAGTTCTGGAGACCTTGTCACCCTACTCTATTAAGCAGTATTTAATTACATAGAAAACACACGGATTCTGGTGAGAATATCTGTTGATTGTATCTTAAAATTACTTTACTGCCAGAATGCCTTAGAGTAGAAACGTTGTTTGGGTGACAAGAGATAGCAAAGACTAATGAGGTCTGAGCACAGCCAACATAACCCATCCTTAAATTTCAGGAGATGTTCTGAGAAGAAGCTTTATGAGGTAGAGAGGGGCACAGTGCTTGGACAGATTCATAAGCACTTCTTCCATTCCCTAGTTACTTGAATATCTGCTTTTCTCCAAACTCACAGTCTCTACAAAGAAGTGTCTCATGACTTGGTGATCTCCTTGGTCTCTTCTTCAAGGCTTTAACACCTTCCTACTCTCCTCCCTCTCTGAAATAGCGAATGTGGGTGGAGATTTACTTCTATACACTGCACAGCTGTCATGTTCTGTGTACATCTTCCACATATAAAGAATTACTTCTGTGTAGGAGGAAGTTTATTGTGGGACTAAAAGAACATGACAAATCCATATGGGTGCCTGTATATGAGTGCAGAGGATGCTTCGATTAATCGTGTCTGCTGGGGACGTAGTAATTACCGTCCTCCAACAGCCTCCTGTGCCTTGTTGCATCAGTGTCCCCATGCTTCAAAATGGTAGCAGGATAATTGAATGAGCTTTAGTTCAAGTGCCGCCATCACCATTTTAAAGTGATGCAACTCTTGAAGACATTCACTTGAAACTTACTGCTTTTTAACTCCTCTCTTTTCTCCTTTGTTGTACCACATACATAAAATGCGAGTGAAATCTAACCATATGAAATCAATGGAAAAATCTCACTAGGAAAGATTTCACACACAGTTCCTTCATTTGGCCCTATTCCAGCAAAGCAACAAGCCTTGGGCTGAGCTAAAAGATTGTGAGTAGTCCCACTGAAGCAAAACAGGGCATCCTGTATTTAATATGGGTGATTAAAATCATAGAGATACTGATGTAGCTAAAATTGAGCATATACCTACATGGCTTGCTGGAGTAGAACAAAGTAATAATGTTATGTGCAGTAATACATATATTAATTAATTATTTATTTATGAATTCCAAGCCATAAAAACAAGAAAAGCAAGATATATTGTAACTTTCCTTGTCCAAGCAGGCTTTAAATGCAGACTTACTGTTAAACAGCTCACAATGCTTTGTGGCTCATGCAGTATTGCCCTTTGTTAAAACAAATGAAATATTTAAGGTAGTCTGTTACAATGAGGTCTGGAACCAAATTTCTTCCAATATTCATTCTAGAATGCCTCTCTGTTGACAGCAATCTAGGATGAATGTAGATTCCTTACTTGTACGTATATATGCAATGGACATGCATTTTCAGGGATGGCAGGGATTTAGCCAACAAGTCTTAGAGAAATATTGTATCAGAGCCTGAACAAAAATTGTCCAGTCTCATTTTAAACTGTAGAGACTCTAAATAGCTTCCCACCATCCAGTTCAAATCCAGGTCAGTACATAATTGTTTCTCACAGATTATTATTGTATTTTATTCCATTTAATTTTAAATATTTTTTACCACTCCTTTGTGAAACTGTTCCCTTCTTTATTTATCTTACTGTCAGGAGGTGTTTTCTAATTTCTTCCATTTAATCGTAAATTGGTTTTTCATTGCCAGGTGAGAAATGTTTATTGGCATGAATGAATTTTCCTCACATTTACATTGCCACAAATTCAGAGTAATATTGGATTGGTATAATAAGAGACCCAATCACATTATTTCTTTCTATTGTCTAGATTTCCATAGTTGTAGGTCTAAACCTTGACTTGACTCATATTTTACACAACTCAATGATTTGACCGAATGAATTCTTTTACTGCGTTAAAAAATATCACTTGCTTTCTTTGCTACTGTATCATATTGCAGACTAATATCCAACATTAGTGTTCACTATTAAGGTTTCTTTTGATATTAATATTTTCTATGCTTTTCTTAATCTTTGTTGACCTGCCATCAGTAACAAGTTTAATAATAGATTTAATGCACACATAGATGGATTGCACACATTATGTTATAGTGTTCTCAAAATTTTGCTCGTATAAAAATGATAAACATATATCTGTCAAACACTTTTATTGCAACATAACACGTTTTGAGAGTTTCCCCATTGTCTGACTTGATCTAGGAATATACAATAGATGTATTTTTTCGTCAAAGTTGGAGAGATGAGAGACTAAAATTTAAAGGACCCATGACAGTTCTCCGGCTGAATAATTTAATGGCCAGCAAGATTTGGACACCTGATACCTTTTTCCACAATGGAAAGAAGTCTGTGGCTCACAATATGACAATGCCTAACAAACTATTACGTATTACAGAAGATGGGACACTGCTGTATACAATGAGGTGAGAGCAAGAAGGCAATGTTTTTTTCTCATTTAATTTTAAAGTATTGCTTATTAAAATGTTGCTTTTAAAACTGAAAACATATCTGTTCCTTTCTGAAAACAACTGTATTTGAATTTTTTTTCTGTCATCATTTTCATAATAAGGTATAGAAAAACCGACACTTTCAGGAGCTGGCAGTGATTTTTTTTTCTTTTTCTATACTATACCCACTTTCACACTCTGCCAGTGCTTTAATGCTCTGATTTTAGAACTCACCTAAAGGAATTAGGTATCCAACATCTTCTGGCTTTTCATGGTGATGAAACTGGAATTGCTTTCAAGATCCAAACGTAAGAACACAATGAAACTGGAAAGTTTAATACTCACATTTTAATAAGTTAGGGACAACATAAAACGATATTTCTTTTAATTTTTTAAAGTAGTGTTGGAAATAGATTCTGAGTGCACAGTCTACTGTTTGCTTTTCAGGTTCATAGGAAGCCCAGGAATTTAAGGTCTAAAAATAGATATTAATCTTTTTAGAAGGAAAACCAAGCTATCTGAAGCATTTTGAAAATGATGAATAATAGATTAATGTTCACTGAGGAAATATGCTCTTTATTATTAATGTGTTACTCCATTTCATGAATAGTTCAGATATTGGTGACATTGGGCTAATCACTAACCAGCAAACCACCTAACCTTCCACATTTGTTGTAATATATGATCAACAGTTTGGGGACCAACAGACTTTATAAATCTATGAACAAGAATAGTAGCTTGTCTCTAAACAGCTGCCCATTAACAAATATTATCTCCCTAGAAATCAATGTATAAAATAATTCTTTAGATTTAGAATCAAGATAGAGTGATACTTTTCTGAGCATAAAGAGTTTTCTTAATGCTTCTGTTAATTTTTCCCCCCTCAAAAATGAGGTCAAGTGGCAAGAAATATTTTGAAAGCAAATAAATATCTAGGCTGCTTGAACGTGTTTGATGGGATCAACGTATCCCAAAACATCTTTCAAGTCTTTCTAAGCTGGTTTGGAACTCCTGGGCTGACAACTATGCATGTGTAGGTCAATTTCCCTGGTCTCCCCAGATGCTTGTTTGTTAGGGATATAATGCACATATGTATTATTTTGACAGCACATTGTTTAAATGTGTCTTTTTGACCATTATTATTTTTATCTTCAGTCCGCATAAACTACTTTCAAAATGTCTGAAACCAGTTTAAGATAAACCTGGATGGATGTAGTATCAGACTGAACTGATTTAGGTTAAATCAGTTCATTGAACTTCTGTCCCAGATCCCCTATATATTCAAGTTAACTCACAGTCCCCCAGTATCCCTGAATGCTTTGCACCTCACACACAAACCCCACCCCCTTCACAGAGTGGGTGGGCTAGCCTTGGCCTAAGCTGTCTGCTCCAGTCAAGCAGGGAGCCATGCTCTAGCACTCCCCAGCTTCTGGCCTGGGCCCCTGAAGGCATGTGGCTTCATTTCTGGAAGCAAAACTGAATGTTTGTCCACTTGCTCCCACTTTTACAAGTGAATTGTCTGCAGAAATCTCTTTGCATGGTATATAACTATTAGGCTAAATACAGACAGTCAAAAAGTATGAGGCTGAATTGATTCAATCTTCACAGGTTAGTCTAAATGGCATAGATTGAACAGATAAGCAATAGCCATTTTGAAAGCAGTTTATGTGCACTGAAGATCTGAAGTGGTTTCTAATCACTCATACCAATTTATGTGTAATTTCTGTCCCTAGCCTTATTATCCTTTTCTTGCTAATGTGTGACGTTTGACTTTTTCAGGGACAATACACATCTTGTTGCATCAGTCTTCGCCTATATTGTATCTGGCTTACTAACGAGTACCTTTGTACCCCAGCTGATGAAATAAATTTGTTTTGTCATTCAGAAACTTAATTGGAAGTCTCAATCAGACTAATTCAACAACAAATATTTTAGTTTTAATTAAATTTCAGTCCCTAAACTACTTTAGAATTATACATAGTGTAGGAGAAATCTTAGCCACAAGGACATTTATTAGGCAAGGAGTTCTTCTAATGTGTATACACTGAGAGATTAAAAAAATTTATCATATGACATTATAAAGAATTTGCCACAGTAAGGAATGCACTACCTGGGTTTAAATAGACAAGGTTCTTTGGATAGATGTGTTATCTTTTATTAGACCAACTAAATAGTTTGAAACATTGTTCTTTGCAAACTTTTGGGCACAAACAACCTTCTTCAGGCATAAAGAGAGTCTGTTGATGTTTGTGTCCTCTCCTGGGTAGAATACAAGCCAATATGCAGGTCTGTGAAAGTGCAAATGCATAGCAGTGAGGATCTGAACAAATGGAAAACAATAGGTGAGAGACAAATTGAGGGTGGGAGGAAGGAGGAATGTAGAACTGGTGATAGAATGTAGCTGGCGAAATGCAGACAGATTACCTAGGGTTATGAGATGGCATGTAGGTTATAATAGGCCATAAATCCAATATCTATATTTTGTCCATGATTTTTTGTATCCAGTAGATTTATGAAATAAAGTTCATAAGCCCATTTACAAAAGGTGTTTTGTAAATTCCCTTTGAGGATTAGAACTGAGAGATTGGAGAGAGAGTGGCTATTTTGTGAGAAGTGTGTACCCACAGGTAACTGGGTATTTTTGTCTTTGATAGATTTTCTATGAGCATTCATTCTGGTATGCAGTAGTTGTTTGGTTTTTCCTACATATTTTCCATCAGGGCGTTTAGTGCACTGGATGAGATATATTACGTGTCTAGAGGTGCAGGTGTAAGATCCAGGAATGGTAATGGTTCTATTGTGGAGTGTAGTTATTGTGGGAGTGGTGGAGATATGTTGACAGGTTTTACATTTTTTGTCCTGGCATGGTCTGGATCTACTTGGTGTCCTTTGGGCCATAGGAAGTTTGCTTCTGGTAATGAAATTGATGAGGTTTGGTGCTTGTTTAAAGGCTAGGATGGGTTGTTCTGGAAAGATCTCTTTGAAAATTGGGTCTTCTTCTAGTATGGATTGCAGTTATTTGAGGATTTTCCATATAGATTCCATGCAAGGATAGTGTGTAATAACCAAGGGTGTGCAATTCATGGGGATTTTCTTTTTCTACTTCAACAATTCTTCATGTGGTATCTGGGTGGCTCTTTCAAAACTACGATCTATCTCTCTGGAAAAGTGTCCATGTTGGGTGAAAGCCCTTTTGAGATTTGTGAGGTGGTGACTGTGGGTGTTCTCCTCAGTGCAAATTTGGTGGTATTGGAGGAGTTGGCTGTATATTACAGCTTTCTGGGTGTGTTTAGGGTGAGTGCTGGTTCTGTGTAAATATGTATGTTGGTTTCCTGTATATGGTGGTTTGTATTTTACCATTCTGGATATTGATCATAGTGTCTAAAAAGGGAATGTTGGTGCTAGAGTAGACAAGAGATACTCTGATGGGGTGGGGTGGGAGGGCGATGGTGATGGTTTTTGAATTTGTGATGGAAATTGATTCGAGACTGCAGGTTTTTTGGTCCAAATGATGAAGATATCATCTATGTATCTTAGGTATAGCATAGGTTTGATGGTGCAGTTCTTGAGGAATTCTTCTTGGTGGGCCATACAAAGATTGGCATATTGTGGGGCCGTTCTGGCACCCATAGCTGTGCCCATGGTCTGGAGGAAGTGTTGGTTATTGAAACTGTAGTTGTTGTGTGTGAGGATGAAGTGCATAAGTTCACTAATATTTTTAGATCTGTATTCTGAGTCGTAATCTTGGTCTTGTAGATATGTAAAACAGGCTTGGATGCCATCCTGGTGTGGGATGTTCATATATAAGCTCATAACATCCATGGTGGCTGGGAGGGTATTTCTGGGAAGGTGGTCTATGTTTTTAAGTTTTTGTAGAAAGTCTGTTGTGTCTTGCACAAAACTCAGTCTTTGGGTGTCAAGAGGTTTTAGGATGGATTAAATGAAACCTGATATTTCCTCAGTTAGGGTTCCATAGTTGCATATTATAGGTCTGCCTGGGTTCCCTTGTATGTGGATTTTAGGGAGCATGTAAAAATTCCCTGGATTGGATAGTGTGGGAATCAAGTTGTGTAGATTTTCTTGTAGTTCAGATGGAAATGATGTGATGATAGTTTTGAGTTTTAAGGTTAAAAGGAGAGTTGAATCTTCCTCTAGGTTTTCATAGTAGGTGGTGTCAAAGAGTTGTCTGTTGGCTCCTTTTATGTAGTCTTCTCAGTTAAGGATAACTATAGCTCTTCCTTTATATGGTTTCATTACTATTTGGTGGTTGGATCTTAGAGATTCTATGGCCCTTCTCTCTGAGAAGGAGAGGTTGTTATAGTGGTTTTTGTTGTTATTTCATTGTACATTCTTTTTTTGAAGCAGTCAATATAGAGGTCGAGGTTTGAATTTTGTGCATTGTGAGGTGTCCAATCTGATCATTTTTTGGATTTTTTGGTGTTAATCTTTTCCTCTGTGTTGTCACAGGATGAAGTGTTGTTGAAAGTGGATTCATTTTGGTTGTGAAAATATTCCTTGAGACGGAGGCGTCGGAAAAATTCTTCTAGTTCTCCACATTGTAGTATCTTATTAGGGTATTTTTCCAGACAGAAAATAAGGCCTTTAGAGAGGACAGATTTTTCAGCTTTGGTAAGTGTGTACATGGAGATATTGATAATATTTGAGGGTTGACTGGTTGCTTCAGCTTCATTGATTGTGAGGTTGGAATGTTTTATGGTATTGGTGTTGTTTCTCTGATGGTTCTTTAGTGGCTGGGAATGTTATTTGGTTTTATAACTTTCTGTAAAGAGGATGTATTTAGATCCTTACACTCAGATTAGGCTGTAATACATGAGTCTTATATTCAGTTGGGTTGACATTAGTACTCGTATATTTTTAGTGAAGCGGTACTGAACATTCTGAAAATATGCCTTTCAAGGGGGTGAAATGAATCTAAAGAATTAGAGGTAAATATAGTAAAAGCTCTATTATCCGGCATCCCCCATTCCTGGGGGATGCCAGGTAACAAAATATGCTGGTTAGTTGAGCGGCCCGGGCCGCTGCTTCTCCTGTCGCATCTGGGGCGTCCCTCCACCCCTCCCGCAGCGTCGCCGCCCCCCGTGGGCCCTGTGGGACAGAAAGGTAGGCCCCGCACAGCTCTGCACAGCCTGTTATGCCCCCAGTCTGTGGGGGCTTGGACTTGAAGAAAACAGAAGTGCTGCAGTGGGCACTTCCGGTTTCACTTTATCTTACAAGCTGGCATGCCAGTTAATTGAGCATGCCAGCTTGTAAGATGCTGGTTAACATAACTTTTGTGTTCTTTGCATCTTAACAATCAGATTTTCAGACATTCAGCTTTACTGTGGATTGGTAAATACAATCTTTTTCAAAAGTTTTGTTTCTTTGGAAATCAGTTTTAAACCTAGATTACAAATTCTTTCTTCCTGGATTCCCATTTTCCATGCAGCATTTGCTCTAACACATTGATGAGGTTCATTATTAAACAGAAATATATCTTTAGGAGGAACCACATCTAATCCAATGCCCATTGACATCAATAGAACACACCTCATTAACCATATTGGATTTATGGTAGATTCATATTTTATATCATCATTGATATGAAAAGGTGACCTGTTTTCCAACAGTTGGTGCCAATAGCTAGACACCATAACACATAGTTATTAAAGAAGAAATTACATAGAAGTTTTAGTGTTTTGTCCATTGTTGTCCTAGAACTCACTCCTTTGATAAGACAACAAGGATTCTGTGGGAAATATATAGAAATAGGCCCCAAATTATTACAAAAATTATGGACAGTATCGGCTAAATAAAAGCAATATCTAGAATTGAGCAAACATTTATACCAAGACTGATGATAGTAGATTCCATTTTGCAAATGATATTGTATTGCAAACAACCTCCTTCAAGCTTGAGAATGTGACATTTATCTGGATGCCTCTTATCAATCATACAGAAAAATGCATGGTTTATTTATTATGGACGCCTTTACATATTTTACATGATTTTGTATGCTAGCTCTGTAACACTAGAATAAAACAATTTTTTTTTGCATTCATCTGTGTAGACTGACAGTGAGAGCAGAATGTCCAATGCATTTAGAAGACTTTCCTATGGATGCACATGCCTGCCCCTTGAAATTTGGAAGCTGTAAGTTTATTTTTAACTAAGCTTTTTCCTTGTTAAGGTCACACTACAGTAGTATATCACATCAGATCAAATAAACTAAATGCCTTAAATCTTGTGTTTTTATCACCTTTGCAATTTAAATGGATTAACATCATGCCTACACCCTACAGAAAGGGGGAAATGGCTACATTCCAAAGGTATAGAAAATTGTGTTACAATATGGTATTACTGAACCCTTCATTAAGCTTTAATATAATTGATTTTAATTAAAAAACTAGTGAGACAAGTAGCATAGACCCTTGTCAGAGGAACTGATTCAGATGAAAATGACTCCCTCTCCAGACTTCGCACATTTTACAACTAATACAAATCCATTGTTTTCTAAGGTTCTCAACTACCCATGTGACTTTTGTAAAAGTCTGCCGACAAAGTAGAATTACCAAAATATAATTTTAAATTATGATTTTATGGCATTTCTGTAGGCAAGCTTATAAAACAAACCAAAGTACCACTGCTGAAATATTTTCAGTTTAGTTTAGCCAACTCAGAGGGTAAAATTCTAATCCATTGACATCGATAAGAGTTTTGCCATTGATTTTAATAGGGCTTTATTTCAAACAACACAATCAACTAGTGAACCTAGCATTCACTTAAAGATAAATATATGTATCTTAACAATTTAGTTAGAAATAATGAAAAAGAATGCCTTGTGAGAAGGCATTTGGAAGAAGAAAAGAACCAAAGCCCATCAACTTTGGCTGGCTCAACATGAAAAGAGAAGGAAAATGAATGAAAATTTAATAGGGTACAAATTGTTTCCTCAGTGGTTGTTTCTTTTTCTAGTAGAAATGGGTCATTTCACTGATAATAGATACTTAGTGACTTGATCTATTTTAGCAGTCAACAAAAACACCCATTTTTTTTCCTTACTGGATATCAGACAACAGGATAATTTACTTAGTTCTGTATAGCCATATATTTACTATGAGAAAGGACTGATCTTTTGTCTGTAAAGAGGTGCCAATCTTTTGCATACAATTTTGTATAGTTCTGGGATTCAGGGTATAAAACACTCTTGAAAATGAAAAGTGCAGCTGACCGGAATATTATCTGCTTGAATGCCAAGCTTTATTTCAGTTATCTTGCAGCATTATAATTACTGTGATGGTTCAGGGAATAGACAAGAAACAAACATTGTGAACTGAAGTAATCTCTTTCAATTTTGTTAGGTAAATCAGGGTTACTGTGTTCTTGCTTCACAAATTTCTTGGTTTTCCACATTTACTTGAACAACTACCACAAACAGCTGGGAAAGGAAATCTTAATGGATATTAAAAATAAGGTTTGAAAGCAAAGCAGATAATGTTAATATATAGAAATATATAAAATATCACGTGTGCACATGTGCGCATTTCATACACACATACATTTAATTCATAAAATTAAAAAAAAAATACCAAATTATAGTGGCACTTGGATGCATTAGTTGTCCTTCAAGAACTGTTTTTTTGTTTCCTATTTTGAATGCCAGTGCATATAAGACTCCTTTTAAAATACACTAAATAGGGACTAGGGGGTTGACTCTGCACTGAAATCAATGGAAGTTTTACTCTTGACTTGAATAAGTAGGGCTAATGATTTATTTAAACTAGTCAGAGCCAAATGTTATGTTGATTGGTATGTTTAAGATCTCCCTCACCAGAAATGTATTACCATAAACACACATTACACATACATGCTAAGTGTGTAAGAGACCTGCAATAGCAGTCTTGGCAATTTTTTTGTACAGCTGTCAGTCACAATGTGTATATTAACTGGAGCCTTGTGAGTCTACAAAAATTATTTAATTTGTGGAAACTCAAGTTCACATAGCCAGGTAGAAAACTCATAGTTCTAGGTAAAGGCTTCTTTCTTAATCACTGAGTCTATCAAACCATTTCTGTTTATCTGGCTGACACCCAAGCCTTATTTTAAGTATCCAGGTCAGAAACCATTAATGGTGCATCATCTTACTTTTCATTTACTTTCAGTATTCTTTTCACTGGGGGCCAACCTTTTTGGCAAGCATACTACAAATTAACCTTACACACTTCCTCAGTGCCACTCTTAACTCCTTCCTCCTCTACCTGCTGCTGTGCTATTTGTCCTCTCCTGCTGCCACCCGCCCCCAGTCTGGATCTTTTGTGTACCACATGCAGAGACTGCTCTTGTCACACATGTTGGTCACCCTTTAGGTTACCTAGGAATATCAGAAATCTTTTGCCATGGTATCACCTCCATTTCATTTTTATTTGGAAAAATAATGAGTTAACACATTCATTTAGATAAAAGATGGCAATGGTTTTCTGTTTTGAGATTTTCATATGACAAAGGGAGGTTAGGCCTGATACTTAGTTGTCTGTCTCCAGATAAGGATTGTATTTCAATGCTCATGGGTCCCTGACACACTGCATAATGTGAGTAAATTGCACAATTTGTCTGAATGGACCTAAGGGAGTATTAGCATGAATAGGGATTTATCATGGTCACAAAAAACACTCTATAGTCTAAAATCACATGGTTATCACTAATGGCACAACAAGACCGAGGCTGTCCAGGACTGCCTGTATTTAATTGCACTGGAAAGGAGTTTTTCCTATTCTTATACTATTATTTATCATTTGCTGGAGCTGATTCTAGAAGGGCCTCATACCAGACACATGCCACACATATTCCATGGACTATGACCACATTGTCAAGGCCAGTAAATGCTTGACCCAACTCCAAGTCTGAAACAACTTGCCAGCATATCAGCTTAAGCTGGAGGATGTTCCAGTTTATTGAAGCTCTGTGTAACAAATGCTAAAGAAGCTTTTGGAACAACAAAAAGCCATATGTTGGCAAGAACAATAACAGAAAGGCAGATGTTCTCCTTACCTCTATCTAGTAGAATCTGATTATCATTTTAGTTTGCATCTTCCACCCATATAGTTCAAGGTCACTTCAGAAACCACACAGTGATAGCATGAGCAGAAGGTAAATAGTACAACTCATACAGCACCTGAACTTGTAGCTGGGAGGGAAAATCCACAACACGAATGTCAAACCAAAGGTGACAGTCTGTAGTTACATAACTAGACAAACTAATTGCAAAAAAACTGAGCACTGACAAATCCAATGACTTCCAATGGAATTTATCGTTTTCAGCTGTTTTGAAATCCTGTTCTCAATCCAACTCTATCTCCCCAGCTTCTATGTACATCTCACAAACTGATATAGTAAACTCTTAGCCTACAAATCAGGACAGCTAAATAAGATACTTATGCTCTTTTGTCTGCTTCATGCTCTCAATGTAAGACAAGATCTCACATTAAATATCCTAATTCCTTGAGACCACAGAATAATATGCTAGAAGTGATGGGTGACCCCAGGGGGGCTGGACCCAATGATCTCATGAGGTCCCTTCCAGCCCTAAACTTCTGTGAATTTGTATCAGTGCCCCCTGCTGAAAAATGGTGGCAGGGCACTTTAAAGCTTGTTCAACAACATTTAGTTCTAAGTGCCCCACCACCATTTTTCATCATGGGGACACTGATACGCATGATGTTCCAGGAGCTTTAATGAGCATGGCTCTTTGAGCTCCACTAATTAAAGAACCCCTCTCCCACCCACCTCCTGGAGCATGTCTATAAGTACCCTTTCACATAACATATGAGGATAAGTAGAATTGGGAAGAAAAGACAAAGTCTACAGTGAATTGACAAACTTTTTTTTTGCTTTGTCTGGCTTGTGAAAGTTGTGGATAAATGTGAGCAAAGAAAAACACTTTCAACTCCTTCCAGAAATATCCCTGTAGAAAAATGGACCCATCAGGTTATACATTCATTGAAGCACAGACTGTTTCAGAAATAGTCTTTGTGCCACTTAAGCTTTATGAAACAGGCTGAGTGGTACAGTGGTTGGTAGATGATGGTGAAGAAAAAGACCAGTGAGGCTGAGCTGGAGAAGGTATACTTGGTTCCAGTAGGACAAAGTAGATCATATTTAGGATCAAAGGATTGGAGCTGTTGTTTCTTACCATTGGCTAGAAGCCAGGAAAATATCTATGGTCCACTGAATACTTTGATGTTAGGTAATCCAGATTCCATGTGCTATACTTCCATTGTGCTATTGTATAAAGATGGATTACTCAGCCTTTGCACTGGTAAGAATAAGATGTGGAATAGATTGATCTCATCCTGTCAGACATGAAAGGGTTTGCATTATCTTTGCAGTAACATGAAGAGCTGGGACATGAAATGTTTTTCTTTTATACTAGATGCCTATACCAGGGCAGAAGTGGTGTATGAATGGACACGGGAACCTGCAAAATCTGTGGTTGTGGCTGATGATGGTTCTCGATTGAACCAATATGACCTCCTGGGGCAAACTGTGGACTCTGGAATTGTACAGTCCAGTACAGGTATATAATCATTGTCCTGTGGGGAAATAAGGGTTTACATTAATAAGTTACTTTTAACTGTTAAAGTTGTTACACACTAGGAGATACAGTGTGTTTCTTGAGAGTGTTTCTTAATAGGCAGACCCTGTAATCTCAAATAGCAGTAGGTCCTTGTACAGTAGCTATATTCATGATTGAACTGAATATCAAAATGAACATATATAAAGAGTTTAGGATACATTTAAAATTAATTCCTATATTTACTTGAGTATAAAATAGGGCTTCCCCTTCCCACCCCAGCCAGAATGGGGAAAAAAAGGCACTCATATTTGCATATGAAAAACTCTGTTATCTATCATTAAGCTGCTACGAAAAGTAGTATGTACTCAGTAATGGAAACCAACTATGAAACTGATTAAATACAGCCAATACTGAGCATTACTCTAAACACATGGTCCATGTTGAATAAACATACTAATAGGAACCTACCACAAGGACATATTAATACAATCTATCTGAATAAGATATTTGGTAGTGCTGTTTGTGCTCAGCCCCCCTCAACACTGACTCTTTTTCAAGTCATGGTGAACCACTACAATTAATACATTTAGACTATCTCTTCACTCCGATAGCTGAGCTATGCTTTCTTTCCCTTTTTCCAATGATTCCTGTTTCTTTGCCAACCTTTAATGTCTGGCAAACTTCACCAAATGGGTCTGCAAACAGTTCACCCAAAATCCCTCTGTCAACCCCCCATCTCAGCCTGTCACATATGATTACTGTGGCCCTGCCCTCCATGAGGTGGAGCTGGACCAGATTTCTCTGTGCCTCATCTGCATATACATTTTTGCAGGATCCCAGGACTCCCAGTGATAAGAACACCCATGAGTGGGGGACTAATTAGCACATGGATCCTTCGTAGAGAGGGTCACCATGGCTTGAAACACTATTGACTCTGGTGGGGCCCAGCACAATAAACTGAGCCTTTTGGCTTTGGACTAATATCACACATAGTAGGTGTATCTACACATGGCATTAATGTGATACAATAACCTTTGGAGTAGTTTGAGCCAGAGTCAGCTGCTCCCAGGTGCAGCTGTGAGCTGGGACAAGGTCTGGGCTGGTAGCAGGCTCAGGGGGTCAACTCCAGGGTCTGGGTGGTGGTGTCAGGCAGTGGAGGGGCTGGCTGGGGCATAAGAATGATAAATTGCAGGGCCCAGCCATCTACACATGCATTTTGTTTCCCTTAGTTACTCTGCCATAAGATAGTACTGTCTCTGGCACTACTATATTATAGTGGAGTTAATTAATTTACTACACCCTAATACCACATGTGGACAGGGATTCTTTACTGCATAGCTAATCAGTCAACTTTGCAGTAGAGTGTATGTGTAGATGCACCCAGTTAGTACTATATACAAGTAGGTACAAAATGCTACTTAAAAGTATGTTTATGGAGTACCTGTGCTAAAACTTGTAGCAGTTTCAGAAGAGGTAAAATGCATCAATTCTCGACTAAGATCACTTAGTCTATGGGTACCTATAGTACTTTACTGAAATGTAAATTAGTAAAGGCATGTTTATTTCAAAATCAGTGTTTTCAGATTTTCCCTTTACT